GGCGAGGCAGATCAGTCGCCGGCTTCTGGATGGCCTCTCACTGCGGCTGCTGGCTGCTCACGCTGGCTGCTGGCTATACACGGTAGCCCATGGCAACCCACTGCAGCAGGGGCTACAGCCTACGTGGTCACCAGCGACTGACGGCAGCCCATCTCCAGGTTGAGTTGTTGTACAGCATCTTAGCTGTAGAGGGCAGTGTCACTGGCCCTCATATGTGGGATCTGAACCAGGGCCCTCTGGCGTCCCAAGCCAGCTCTTAACCAGCGTGCCACTCGGCCGGCCTGGGCCAGGTTTCTTCACTGTAAAGTTATTGCCCCTTTTGGAAGGGAGTCATGCTGTGCAGCCCGCATGTGAGGGGCCTCTGATCCCTCAACCCTGGCTGCCTTATGCCCAGGGGGCCTGTGGCGGGGTCTGAGGCCAGGCCTGTGCATCCTAGAGCCTGCAGGGTGGCTGCTGGCCAGCCAGGGATTCTTCAGCCCCTGAAGAAGCAGTGGAGGTGGGCTAGCCTAGAACTTCGCCCCTTGTAGACATTGGTCAGGGTAGACAGAGGTCTCACCTCAGCTTGTGGCCTGAGAACTGGGCCTTGACCTAGGCCTTGATGTCAGCCGCAGAGCTTCCAGCCTCCCGACTTAGGGGTTGGTGCTTTTGGGCCTCAAAGCATGAGGGCAGAAGGACCCACGGTCTTAGTGGCCCAGCAGCCATGGGCAGCAGCAGCAGGCCGGAGTCCATCCAGCTGAGAACCACAGGCCCTGGTGGTTTCTCTGCCTTTCAGACCGTGTGCTGGTGGGGGCAGCCCATGTCCAGCGGGGGAGACGAGTGCTAAGAGACAGTTACAAGTGACGAGGGAGACATGTGATCCCATCGAGACATGCTTGAGAGCTAGGGACTGGCAGGTCACAGCAGAGAGGCCTCTGTGGTCAGTGGAAGTGAGGTGTCTCACATCCTCTGTGATCAGGAAAATGCACATTGAAGCTACAGCATTAGTCTCCCTTTGCTGCCCTAGTAGATGACTATAGACTTAGTGACTTAAACAACACACATTTATTATTATATCTGACAGTTCCGGAGACTGGAAGTCCGACATGGTCTCACAGGGCTAAGATCAAGGTGTCAGCAGGGCTGGTTCCTTCTTGAGGCTCCAGGGTAAGAGTCCATTCTTTGCCACTTCCAGCTTCTAGAGCAGCGGTTCTCAACCTGTGGGTCGCGTCCCCTTTGGGGGTCGAGCGACCCTTTCACAGGGGTTGCCTAAGACCATCGGAAAGTAAAAAGATATTTACATTACGATTCATAACAGTAGCAAAATTACAGTTATAGAGTAGCAATGAAAATAATTTTATGGTTGGGGGTCACCACAACATGAGGANAGCGAGCTCTTAACCAACTGAGCCACTCGGCCGGCCCGGTAACTCCATGTTTAATGCTTTAAGAAACCACCAAATTGTTTTCCAAAGTGGCTGCACTATTTTCGCAGTTCCACCAGCAGTATATGGAGGTTCCAATTTGGTTTGGTATTTTAAATTTGAATTAAGTAGGGAATGGGTACCATAATCGTTTTGGTGATGGCTTAATTCCAGGATACATTGCCTCTTCCCACTGAGGTCTGCTCCTGTCTACCCCGATGGATCAGCCAGTGAGGTACAGCTCTGGAGGCGGGCTCTAAGTACTGTTGGTTTTTTTTTTTTTTTTAGCTGATCCATCCTGCCACCTGTTGGCAGCTCAACGGCAGCTCAGTTCAGGCCGCAAATCGAACCGGTGACCCTGTTACTCAGAGCTCGCACTCCTGAGTGAGCTCTTAACCAACTGAGCCACTTGGCCAGCCGTACTGTTGGTTTTTATAAAAGTGATACCTAAGTATTGTCAGGAAAGACAACACATAAGTACTGTCTATGTGAATTATGAATTCCCCAGATCCTGCTACCCAGAGGTAACTATTCTTATCATCTTGGTGGAGGCTCTCCAGTCATCACTGTGTCAAGTAGAGGTCTTTCTAGTTCATCGACCGCATACTTCTTTGTTTTTGTGTGGGTGTGTATGATTCCCTTGCCCATATTCCTAGTAATGGACACTTAGATTACTTGTATGTTTTTCTTTCTAAACAATGCTGCAGTGAGCATCCTTGCTGCTGTCTCCTTGAGGTGAACTTCTGTGAGTGTGGTAGCTCAGAACACAGACACCTTTATTATTTTGAACGTGTTGCTCAGTTGTCCCCAGAAACGTCTTCTGAACTGACGCCCCTATGACAGCTGGAGGCTTTCATCATACCGGTGACAGCCCCGGCTTTGTCCCTCCTTTTAATCTGTCACTTCCTAGTCATTGCTTTTTTGAACTGCCCAATCATAGCCATTGGTCACTTGTTAAATTGGGGTGTTTTTTGTTTTTTTCTTGACTTATAACAGGGTTTCTCAACCTCAGCACTATTGATTTCTTTGAGCTGGATCATTCTGGGGTTCAGCTGTTCTGGGCAATGTGGGGCATTGAGCAGCATCCCGGGATGTCAGGAGCACCTTTCCTCCCCATCATAACAACCACAAATGTCCCTACCTAGATATCACCCAGTGTCCCCTAGGGAACAGAATCACCTCTGGTTGAGAACCAATGTTTTATAATAACCCTCTCTATACTAGGATTATTAGCACCCTTTTGTGCTGCACAGTTTTTTTCTCAGTTTCTTGTTTATCTTTCAGCTTTATTTTTGATGTGTTATTACATAGAATATTTTAAAGTTTATTGCCAAATTTGTCGTTTCTTTTAAAGCTCCTGGCCTTGTGACCTGCCTAGAGAGGTTTTACCCTCCCTAAGATTATAGAAACATCGGCCCGTGTTTTTCTCCTTGCACGTCTATGGACTGTATGGATCTGCAATCTAGAAGCACGAGGCAGGACAGAACTGTGTGTTTTCCACATGCCTCCCCGCTAGTCTACATGAGCTGGTATGGCTAGTGGTTAGGACACAGATTGAGAGCTAGGCTCCCCTGTCGCCATCTGTGTGATCTTGGACAAGTCGCATCTGCGACTGCCCTGTGCCTCAGTTTCCTCTTCTGTGAAATGGCCTGTGATCACAGTGCATGCTTATATCTCAGGTTTTTGGGGCTGATCAGACATGCCAAGCGCTTAGAGCCATGCCCGCACATGGGTGAACTGTGCCCTTAGCATCGGCCTTTTCATCCTCACAAGTCACCTCTGATCCCATGTAGCTTTGAGGGAAGGCCCAGTGCAAACTCTAGAACAGAGGTCGGCAAACTTTTGAGACAGAAGAGCCGCCAGGGGTCAGCAAACTACGGCTCGCGAACTGTGGCTCTGAAGTAAAATTGAAAATGAAAATAAAACTATCATAGTTTCATTTATAACATTTTTGAAGGATATTATTCACATAATGGTGATTATGTAAAAATATATTTATGGGCTCTTGAATAATTTTTAAATTGTTGTGAGGGACAGAATTGGCTCTTCCAGGGGTCAGCAAAGTTTTGAGATGGAACACACCCAAAGAACCACGTGGCTCACGAGCCGCAGTTTGCCGACCCCTGCTCTAGAAGAAAGATGTTCAGGGGGGTCAGTGAGCCTGTCCAGGGTTGCCAGGGTCTTGACTGACAAGCAGGGTCCTCTCCAGCATGTAACTTGTGACATACATGCCTTCCATCCCCGCAGCCTGGCCCCACCCAGAGCCTACACAGAGGCCCACAAAATTACAAGGCACGTTTGCGGAGAAACACAATTATTTTGCTAATGATTATGGTTTTAAATGGTTAATTATGGAACATCTAAGACCTGTACATATGTATAAAGAATGCACTGATGGTGTTTTGAGTGTCTGCCTGGGGAGGCCTTCTGGCTGGGCGGGGAGTTTGCTTGTGTCTCTCCCGTCCCCAACCCCCCCGGATGTTGGCGTTCGCCCCTCTCTCTCTGTGTGGCTCCAGCCCCTTGCTTGCATGGGGCTGTGAGCCAGGGGGACAGGTGGCCTTCGCTCGTGCTGCTTCCCTGACCCTGTTAAGAGCCTAGTAAAGACGTAGGTGGGCTGGCAGGCCCTGTTCTTGTTCATGACATTCCAAAAGCAAGTGCTGCCAGCCATGCCTGCATCCCTCCTGGGTTCCCTGGCCTTTTGCCCAAGCACTACCCTTTTATTTTTATTTTTCCAATTCAAGTGCTTTCTTTTTTTTTTTTTAGATTTTTATTGGGGAATTGGGGGGATGGGAACAGTGCTGGGGAATTGGGGGAAGGGGAACAGACAAGTTGCTGTCGTTTTGTTCCTCAATCTAGTTGT